AGCCCGGCTTTCCTGTATCCCTGCGGCAACATTAAATCCCACTCAAAGGGCTGGTTTTAATTGGCTTAATATACTCGTTAATAACCGCGTCTATTTAACGCACCTGTAAAAGGCCCATAACATTAACTTAATGGCAGCAACGATGTACCCAGCACTTCCAGCCAGCCTTTTAAATTTCCTGACAAGCTTTTAATGGGGCCAGGGCGGGCGGGGAAGGATGGCCTAGTTCACAGAGGGGCCACCTTGGTTTGTCCACACTCCGGTCCTATGTCTGGCTGGCAGCTGCAGCCTCCAGAAGGCCCAGCGCAGGCCCTCCTCTGGCCATGGAGCTAGCGTTCGTGTGACCTCTTCCAAGTGTGTTTAGATGTCAGGGTGGCGGGAAGAGCAAGGTCTGCCCACAGAGGCCTCCAGATCAAGCCCGGGACACAGGAGAGGAACAGAAATGGTGCAGGTCTCAACACTACAAGCAGAACCCACCGCCCCTTCCCAGAGCCGATCCTGCTTGGCAGCAGGGGCTTTTTTCTCCAAGTCTCAGTTCTGCCCTCTCTGAAAGGGAAGGAGGGCACCCAGAGGCTGGTGTTGGATGGCACCTCTTGTCACCCGCCTTGTGATCTGCCATCCCCAGACACCGCGGGCCTCTGCACTGCTGGCCTCTGGTCAGTCATGCTTTCACCAGACCCCCACAGGGACTCCTCTGTGACCCTGTGCCCCTCATATCCCAAGGCCAACTTCCCAGAGGAGCCTTTGTCACTGACCACAAGTGCAAATTGGGTGCCCCTCTACCTTGCATCAAAGCCCACACCCATAGCCTATGTCCCAGTTTCTGTGCCTGTGTATCCCAAACTGGGGCCCAACAGCATTTCTAACCGTCAGCAGTGCACAGGGCACAGTGGGGACAGCATGTGTCTCCTCCTGGTGACCCTAGGCATGGGGGTGACTAGATCTTCTGAGCTTGTTCACTAGTCTGTATGTGATGCCGGCGATCAGCTGCAACTCACCCATGTGGCTTCACTGCATGGCTGGTCTCCAGGAGGGGTGTCCACAACTCTCCAGGTGGAGCCACACTGCCTATGAAACCTTGCAGACCTCACCATGAAAGCCATCACTTCCCTGTACCCTGTTCAGTGGGTAGGAGTTACTAAGCCAGTTCAATGATTGAGTAAAGAAAATCAGGCTGTGCTGTTTGTGGGAGCCGTGTCAAAGAATTTGTGGCACATTTTAAAACCGTCTGGGCCCTGGAGCTTGCCGCTGCCTGCCTCCTGTGCCCCAGTGGCAACTCTCCAAGCGCAGGGATCTTGTCTGTTTCAACCACTGCCACATGACCAAGGCCCAGGATGGCTGATGAGTTGGGCTTGGTGGTGCACACCTGTAATCCCAGCCCTGGGGAGGCTGAGGCAGGAGGATGTTTACAAGTTTGAGGCCAGCCTGGGCTACAAAGTGAGCTTAAGGCCAGCCTGAACTGTATAGTGACAGCCTGCCTCGAAAAGACAAAATAAATGCTGGAGCTTTGCTTTCCTGACTCCTTGGCTGGACAGGTCCAGCTGACCACAGACTCACTACTCATTCGGTACAGTATTACGGGATCCCTGGGTGGCCTAAGGGGGACAGTGGTGCACAAGCCAGCTCCAGGAGCCCAAGTATGGTGGGCTGAGGAAGACAAGCCAGCAGCATTCAGTCTAGGGGGGCTGGTGTGGTAATGCAGGTCAGGACCTGCCAGGCACCCGTGGGGACCCCCCTCACGCTCCTTGAACACCAGCTTCTCCACTGCTAAGGAGCCCGTCCTGACAGCTGGCTCCCCAGCCCCTCTGTGGGGCCTTTTCCTGCTCCCTCACATTTACCCAGCAGGATGTGTGATGGTACTGAACACTCTTGGCTGGGTCCCTCCCACAGGAGGGCCTGAAATGTCCACCAGGCTGGAGTCAGGGTGGCCTAGGTCCCCATGTCACCTCCACGATGCTCTGGTAGGACAGGCGACACTGAGGCACCCAGGGGTAGCCCAGGAGAGGGTCCTCCAGCAAACAAGGTGGCGATCCCAAAAGCAATCAGGGCAGGTTGGATACTAGGGACAGTGGTGGCCTGGAGGCCCCTGCCCACTTGAAGGTGCCCGAATACCAAACACCAAGGAACACAGAGAGCTCAGGCAGGCCCAGTTCCAGGTGACACTCAGCTCAGGGCTGGGCAGCGGCTTGGGCAGCCATGACAGCCACAGCCTAGCAGGTCACCTCTGACGACCTCAAGGCCCTGGGCTAAGCTCCCTCCTGAGACCAGTCTGCCTAATTCTGCAGAAGAATGAGTTTTATGAGTCCCCTGGCCCCTGGAGGTCCTGTGTAGCATGGGGTAACAAAGACCTCAGATCCCAGCCCAGTCCCTGGATGGCTGTGCACCCCTAGCAAGCTCAGCTCCCTTTCTTCACTGCAAAACAGGGACCGAAGTATGTCGTCGCCTGCTGTATGGCAGGTGACTCCAAAACTCCACAGCCGAAAACAGCATGGAGCATTTAGACCCTGCTGGTCCGAATGGCTCAGGAAGCCACTGGGCGGTTTCCATCTGGGTCTTTGAACGCCTGGCGGGAGGCTCTTGCAATGAGGCTTATGTAGCTGCTGGCTTCAACATCTGTCATCAGCAACGGGCCTCTTGCTCCACGGGCTGCTCTGTGTTCTCATGTGGCAGCAGCTTCCCCGCTGAGCTAGGGATCCAGGAGAGCTACAGGGAAGCCACTGTGCTCGTAAGACCAGGTCCCAGAAGCCACGCTCTTTCACTTCCCCAGAGTCATTGGCTGCACAGCTCAGCCGGGGTTGATGTGGGTCCTGGGGATGGCACATGGGCGTGAATACCAGGAAGGAGAAATCCTGCGGGTGGCAGGTGTCAGAGGCCAGTTGCTAAATGCCACAGCCTGTTCCCCATCAGTAATTTGGGGACCACCTCCCATTTCTCAAAAGCCATCGCAAAAGAGCCTTGGGTAAGGGGCTAGGGATTTAGCTCAGCGGCATAAGCACCTGCCTTGCAAGCACGTGGTCGTGAGTTCAATCCCTGGTACCAATTAAAAAAAAAGCCTTGGGCGGAGAGCCTGGCACCCACTATGTGCTCTCCAAAGGCAGCAATGTTCCGGGGCCACCATCAACTCCCACAAAAGCAGGAGGTATCACACCATCCTTGAGGAGCCCCACTGACCAGAAGGGGCAAGGCGCCCCATCCTTGAATAAGTGGGGACTACCAACAGGCATCACTCTGCCTCCCCCCTCATCCTTAAGGTTTTAAACACCTAATTTATTCCATCCATTAGATAGATTTTGTAGATTTAATCATTTTCACAGTTGGTGGCTCATTGGATACTCAAGATAAACTCCAAATGAAAGTATAATGGGGAGGACAAATGAGTTTTCACACCACAATGGCAGAAACTTGCTTGGGAAGAGAGTTTAAGAGGAACAAAAATACATACAGATATAATTTTTTTTCTCCGGCAGCTGCTTTTGCTGACTCTAGTAGGTTACCACAGCTAATTTCACCAGTTTTGTTCATCTGTAAAATTGCATAAAAGTGACATTTTTGTGCTCATTATAGCAACTGCTGATTTATGGCTGGCAAATGAAGAGCTGGTCCCTTTTTTGCGGGACTCTCCGAGCGGCGCTAAGTGCCCATGAAATTGCTTGTATAATGTAGTTTAAATCCAATCTCAGAGAAAGATTCCCCCGTTGGCCAAAGTGACATTTCCATTCTCCACACCAAGTTTATTTTAGGCCACTTAGGAGGGGGCTGCCCTGGGCAGGGTCAGGATGGAGGCCCATGGAGGCCTCACCTGCCCATCCCACGTGAGGCTGGATGGACCTGAGATGTCACCACCACCTTCCTGCCCTGCTGCCCAGCCTGCACAGCTGTCAGTGCCTTGGACAGGGCTGCTCCACCCGGCCCTGCTGATGTGCAGGGCTGGACGGTTTACACGGGGGCCAGGCTGTGCACTGTGACGTGTTATTAAATGCCACCAGCTCTTCCACCCCCAGCTGGGACTAGCAAACACATCTCCAGACATTGCCATCATGGGCAATGCAGTGAGACCCACTGGCCAGCCATGAAGGGCCCACCTGGCTGCTTATGTACGTCTTATCTTGGTCTGAATGATTCCCTGTGCCCACCAGCGACAGCTTTCTGGCCTCTGGACCTCTGCCCAGCTGCTCCTGCTGCCTGAAATCAGCTTCAGGACTTGCCCAGAAGGCCTCCTACCCAGGAGAGCATTCACATGCTCTCACAGCACTGGTGTCCACAGCCGCTGCCTGCCATTCGTGGGCAAGCAACTCATCCAGGGTCTGCCCATCTGCCCCAGGGGTGCTGTCTCCTCAACCGCTCAGCCCCCCGGAATGTGCAGGCTGCACTGGAGGATGTCTCAGGACCAAGGAGGGGCTCTGAGGGGCACCACCACCTCTATGGCAGAGCAGAGGTGTACACATTAACCACAGGAGTCACACGGCCTAGATGACCCTCACAGACGGGTTCAGCAGTGCAAGGCTGTACACAGCACAGGACTCGATCTCACCCCACTCAGCCAGGCATGGCCAGGCCCTGTGGCTGGAAGTCGGGACAGCGGTGAACTGGGCTGTGGCTGGGAGACATGGGGGCCTCTCACCTTATATAAGTCCTTTTGTGAAAATTCACCAGGTTTACAGTGTGTGTAATTTCTGTATTTTACTCTGATCCAAAGCTCAAAAACCTGGAAAGTCTGGGCCTGACGCTATAATCTCAGCACTCTGGGAGGCTGAAGCAGGAAAATCACAAGTAATATCCCATCCTAGACAACTTAATGACTTAGGAAGACCCTATCTCAAAATAAATAAAAAAGGGTTGGGACAAGAGCTCAGTGCAAAGGTCCTGAGTTCCATCAAACCTGGAAGGAACAGATGAGAGGAAAGGAAGCTAGGCAGCTCTGTGAGCTTTCGTGGGCAGCAGAGGCTCGGGGCCCTGCCGAGTTGCTGGGTCAGTACTCACCAGTGTCTCTGTCCCTGCAGGCGAGATGACAGCCAGCTCCATGCATTCTTCCCGATACCCAAGCCCAGCCGAGCTGGACGCCTATGCTGAGAAGGTGGCCAACAGCCCACTGTCCATCAAGATCTTCCCCACCAACATCCGTGTGCCCCAGCACAAGCACCTCAGCCGCACGGTCAATGGCTATGACACCAGTGGCCAGCGCTACAGCCCCTACCCACAGCATGCCAGTGGCTACCAGGGGCTGCTGGCCATTGTCAAGGCTGCTGTCTCCTCCTCTAGTGCAGCCACCTCCACTGGGTCAGCCAAAAGCGTGCTCAAGAGTGCCGAGGGCAAGCGGACCAAGCTGTCGCCGGCCACTGTGCAGGTGGGCATTGCGCCCTACCCAGCACCTAGCACCCTAGGGTCCTTGGCCTACCCCAAGCCACCTGAAGCACCTGCCCCGCCACCCAGCCTGCCTGCAGCTGCCACTGCCGCCTCCGTCATCCCCCTGCCAGGCCGGGGCCTGCCCCTGCCCCCCTCTAACCTGCCTTCCATCCACAGCATCCTCTACCAGCTCAACCAGCAGTGCCAGGCCCCAGGCGCTGTGCCCACCACCTGCCAGGCCGTGGCTGTTCCTCACCCCAGCCCGGCCAAGCACGGCCCCATGCCCAGCTTCCCCAGCATGGCCTACTCAGCCACCGCGGGTCTGCCCGACTGCCGGAAAGCTACAGAGCTGGGTCCTGGAGCCACCCCATCCCTGACACTAGCTGGGGCGACCAAGCCTGCAGGGTACACGGAGGGTGGTCTAGATTACCTGCTGTGGCCACAGAAGCCACCCCCACCACCGCCCCAGCCCCTGCGCACCTACAGCAGTGGCACAGTGGCCAGCAAGTCCCCAGAGGCCTGTGGCAGTCGGGCCTACGAGCGGGCCAGTGGGTCACCCCTCAACTGCAGCGTGGGGCTGCCAGCCAGCTTCACTGTGGGCCAGTACTTCGCTGCCCCCTGGAACAGCGTGCTGGTAACCCCCACCAGCGACTGCTACAATCCTGCTGCAGCGGCAGCAGTGGCAGTGACGGAGCTCGGGCCTGGAGCCACCCGGGAGCTGGCAGGGCCTCCCGCAGACACCCTGGCAGGCCTGCCCAGCAAGAGCATGTGCAACACGTCGGTGCTGAGCAGCAGCCTGCAGTCCCTGGAGTACCTCATCAACGACATCCGGCCGCCCTGCATCAAGGAGCAGATGCTGGGCAAGGGTTACGAGACGGTGGCCGTGCCGCGGCTGCTTGACCACCAGCACGCCCACATCCGCCTGCCCGTTTACAGATAGGTCTGCTTGGCGGACACTCGGACAGATGGACAGGGTGCCAGGTGGGGACGCAGGCCGTGGAGCAAGGTGGGCAGCTCCCAGGATCCCCAGTCCCGCTCTGTGCCCATGGGGTGCCCCCCGAGGAAGCCAGGCTTTGGGCAGATGGAGGGCGGCAGGGTGACCTCACATACTGAAGCCCCTCCCCCATCACTGCCCCAGGACACAGGGAGACCCTGGGAGGGCCGGGAACACCTACACCTTCCTGCATCCGGACTGGCGAGGGCAGGGAGAGGAAAACCACTTACACACAGGGAAAGTTCTTTCTGGGTCTCTGCCAGAGGGGCTCAGGCAGGGTGGGGGACCATTCACTGCAGCCCTCATCCCCACGAGCCCCTATAAGATGGGGCCTATAAGAAGTCACCCGGCCCCAAATAGTCCCACACCAGCCAATCCAGGTAAAGATCACGCTGACCTTAGAATCCTAGAGGCCCTAGGACTACTGGCCCCTGTCTCCTCCCTCAGATTCTCTCCCCGACCCACTCCTTCCTAACACACAATCATCTTCCCACCCCCACTCTACACCCTGGACCAGTGTCTGCCCCTTTCTCTCCAATACATCTTATAGGGCTGCTGGGCACAGTTACACAGGCTGTGTACCGCATAAAGGAACCTCGTCTGAGGAGACACCACTTGCATTCTAGATGTGTATATTTATTACAATTTTCTGCATCTTTAGGAAGGGGCATCATTTTCCTATTCGCACAAAGGCACCCGAGGGGCTTAACAGTGGGCCTGCAAACTTCAGACCCCATTCAGAGGGACCCCACGTTGTCTTCAGCAAGAGTAAAGGGGGGCTGTCCTCCTGGGAGCCAGTGACGGGGCGGCCTCCTGGTTTTGGAACCATCCAACTCCTGTCCTGCAAGCCGCCCTCCAAGGCCTGAAGCCCCCGTGTGCAGCCCCTCCCCTGGCGCTCCACAGCGGTACTGTATCTCTCCAAGGCCTGTTCAAGCACTAAGTGCATTTACGAATCTCTGAGAATGTTTTTTTTTATACTAAAATTGACCATTATATTCTACTGTGAGAAGTGCAGTCTGCACTATATTGTTTTAAAAACGAAGAGACAGAAAAAAAAGAGGAAAACACAGATGGTGTCTCAGCTGTCGGCTTGGTCTGCAGCTCTTTGCCTCCCTCACTGCCTCACTTGGGGTGATGCGGGCGGTCTCCCCTCCACCCTGCTGGCCGGCCTGGCCCCCGAAAAACCTCCCACAGCTCTTCAGGTGGCCGCTGTGGGCCGGGGCTGGGCTCTTCACTCGGTGCTCTGCCCTCCAGAGCCCCAGCACTGCCTTGCTGGGGACAGACCATCTTCCTAGCTGAGCAGGGCACCCCAGCCCATACCCACTCCTCTGCCTCCTGTTCAGCTGACACAGTAAGATGCAGGGCAGAAGAGAATGCATCTGCTTCCCTGAGACCAGGGTGTCCCCCACTTTGGCAGCACACAGCTTGTCCCCAGAATCAGCCCTACATCTGGGTCAGTGGGCTGAACACAACACCCCAGCCCCCTAGAGGCCAGGTCTTGCTGGGAGACAGTCTGGGTTAGGCCACCAGGAACAGTCTTAAAGGATTTCTAATCAGCATAAACAGCAGCTCACAAAGTGCTTCTCTGGCCTCAATAACACTGCAAAGTGAGTAATAAGATCATGCCTGTAAAATACAGAGGGATCCCCACAAGGATGGGCAAGGGAGCCAGGTGGCCTGCATCCGGCCCAGCACCCTCACATCACAATGCCCACCTGGCCATCTAGAGCAAGTAGACCAGGCTCCGAATCCTGCCATGGGTCCCCTTAACACCCTGAGCCAATCTGTACCTAGAAGACCACACCACAGAGCCAAGAGGACCGAGGCCCAGAGAGCTTTGGGCAGGGCAGGCTGATCATAGGGAGGAAGCCACACCTAGGCTGGGCAGAGGCCTCTGGCTCAGCTTTTCTGGGAGTCACCAGGAAGCCACCCAAGCATCAACCTGCCAGCCAGGTGCCCACATGGGGAACTTGGGCAGAGGACCCATCATCCTCCTGGAAAGACCAGAAGGTCCTGTGCACGGGCTGGAGCCTGCCCTGGCTGGGTCTTGTCTCCCTGGGCCTCATTTCCCCCACTTGGGAGGTGAGTGGTTGACCACAAAGGGCCCTTCAGCATAGCCATTCTAGCGGGCTCTGGCCCTGCCCCGTGTTCACAGTCCCCCCGCCCCCGGGAGTACAGTGGGACAGGAAACAAAAACATCAAAGCTATAATCACCAGCAGTCGGAGGGATGCCAGGCTGCCCTTCTGCCCTCACCAGTTTCCCATGAGCCAAGTTTGCATTCACTACATCTCAGGTGGGTGAGGCCCAGCGGTGGGCAATCACCCCCCAAAGTCATGCAGCTGGGGCTGCAGAATGGAGGAGCAGCTGGGAGACCGCACAGCCCAGCCCATCCACAGCCAAGGCGGGGAGCCACCGCACAGAGTAGAGCACAGAGCCTCACCATCCTGGCAGGTGGTGCATTTGGCTCGAACCTGGAAGAGGGCAGAGCAACTTCCCACAGGGCAGAGGAGGCAGAGGAGAGGCCGCTCCCACCAGAGCAGCCTGTCTGCTCCAAGTCTCTCTGAGCCCAGGCAGGACCCCCACCCTCCCCACACACACACACACAATCCTCATGGGCCTACACCCTTCATACTCGTCAGGTCCATGCATGCCCCACGTCACCACGTTTTCTTTCATGGACACCCCAGCAGCCACAATGTTCCTGTCTCTCACAGCATCCAACCTGCCGCCCCAAAAGCACAGTGGGTCTACGCAGACCTGCAGGTGACACTCACCTGTCCAGGTGGCTTCGAATTTTTCCACTCACATCCCTGTCTTAGACCATGCATTCCTTTCAGAAGGTTGAGAGAAGTTGATAAGTTTGAACTTCTGGACTTGATCACTTCCCACCAGCCCTGCCAGGCTCTCTAAGCCACAGCCTCAACTCCAAGGTGACCCACACGCTCTGATCCCATCCCACTGTCTCACGAGCATGCGCTATACTGTGCCTGCGTAGCATACACATGGTGCTCTTAAAGCCCCACCCCCAACCCCGTGTTGTGTACACTGCAGGTGGGGTACACCTGTGATCCCCACACTAGGAGCTTGAGGGAGGAAGATCACAAGTTGGAACTCATTCCGGGCAAGATCTTGTCTCAAAAAATAAGAACAGTCTTAAGGATGTGGCGCAGTGAAGAGGCCCTGGTCAAATCCTCAGTTTTAAAACAATAAAAATGAAAACGATATATTTTTAATCAATGCATTGATCAGAACATAAGGTCATTTTAAATTAAGAAGCATACTTGCCGGGCATGGTAGCGCACACCTATAGTCCCAGCACTCAGGAGGTTGAGGCAGGAGGATCACTATAAGTCTGAGGCCAGCCTGGACTACAAAGTGAGGTCAAGGCCAGCATAGCAAAAGCCTTTCTCAAAAAGGCCAAAAAAAAAAAAAAAGAAATCCATGTACCATTCAGGTTGCTCTTAGGGGTGAGAACTCAGCTCTGAGAAGTAGCACAGAGACACATAACTAAGTTAGGTGTACTCTTCTTGATGTCGCCTTGTCCAGCTGATGTCCAATTCACCCTGGAAAGTGGGTTCCCAAAGAACTGAGAAACAGGGCTGGGGATGTAGCTTAGAAGTACAGCACTTGCCTGGCATGTGTGAAGCCCTGCATTCCAGCTCCAATAGTGTAAAATAATTTTTTGAATTAAAAAAAAAAACAGTTTGAGAAGTAGTTATATATACCCATTCTTGGAAATGCATAAATCACTTTAGTATATTAAAGGCTTCTATGACATGAATTCTCCACTCGGAAAAAGAAAAAAACTGAGGTTCAGAGAGGGAAGACAACTTGCCTATTGGCACACAGAAATTTGGATCCTAATTCTTCTGGAGGTGTCCAGGCCCCTTCTGTCCTTGAGGATAGGAGTCCTTCCTGAGTCTCACAGAGTCAGGGCCTGCTCATCCAGAGATCACAGGAAGGCTTTTCTCGAGCAGGTACTGGGGTTCCAGTTTCCCTCAGAGCTCTGCTGAGGCCACCCCAGGTGTGACAACAGCAGCCTCTGGGACCCGTCTCCAGGATCTCTCCAACCCCACCCAGCATCAGCCAAAAGCAGACCCGTGGGATCTAAGGGGTGCATGCCAAATGGAGGGTGCTCAGAGCAAGAAGTTTTTCCTGGACATACTGAGAAGGTCCCGACCCCAGCCCCATCCAGAGCCCTGGCTCTCACCTGTCAGAAACCACAGCAACCAGCTGCTTGGAAAACAATGGAAAATGGCCATGTTTGAAAAGGATCAACACACAAGCATGCATACACGCATGCACGCACGCACGCACGCACGCATGTGCACACACACTCCTTCCACCTTAGGATGAGAAAGCTCATCCCAAGAGAGCATTCAGATTCTGGCTCTATCCAGATCCAGGCTGCATAACCTTAAGCACAAGTGTTTCCTTGTGTCTCACTTTCTTCAACTCTAGAATGGCGACAATTATATAAAATGTACTTGCATCTGTATATTTCTGACTAGGTAACGGAAAATCCTGACTTAACTGGTTTAAATGAAAAACTGTACTACCTCAAATAATCATAAAGTAGGATGACCCCAGGGTTAGTTAATTCAGCAGCTCAATGGCAGTATCAAGGACCCATGTTTCTTTCATCCTGCTGGTCACAAAATAGTTGCTGCAGCTCCACATACCACATCCAGACCTGACAGGCCCCAGCAAAAAAGAAAACCAGTCTTTTCCTGTATTTGTGTTTCTCTTTCTTTCCCAGAATTTTCCTTTCCCCGCAGACCTGTCTTCTTACATTGTGGATCAGAACTGAATCATATGGCCATTCCTATATCAATACCTACAGAAATAGAATCACAGGGGTTGGCTTAGAGAAGCCCAACACTGTGCAGAGTAGGGTGGAAAACTCTGAACAAAACCAGGTGCTGTGTACAAGGAATAGGAGGCACCAGCTCCCATCCAGAAGCTCCCACATGTGGTTCCCCAGGTCCATGTGTTTTGTCCTGTTGGAGGCTGCTCCAAGAACACAGTGCTCCCAACCTGGTCCCTCCTGACCCAGCCTTCAAGTCCTCAGGCTCTTGGGCCTGGGTCTCCACTGCCCCCTACGTCCCCAACACCATCTTCTGGCTCTGTCCTCAGCCTCCCTTTCATTCTGGTCTCAAAAGCTTAAGCTGAACAAAGCTCTTCCCATCGCCCCCAGTGACTTTGGATTCCTCAAATATAAAAGGAAGGAAGTGCTTGGTTCTCATGTAAATGCTTTTGCCAAGCTGAAAATTAATAACTATGAACAGAGTCCCGGAGTATTGAATCGGCCCATTCCAAACAACCGAAACAATCCAAATGCACCGTTATCTGGGCCAGCTGCGGAGACTAACTAGCGACTATGACATTATCACATTCGGAAATGTCACAAGCATGCATTCAGAAGAGATGAACAGTGTGGCTGAATCTGGCTTTTGATTAAATAAAATCCGCAGCATTCATTTAAAACAATAATAACAGCTAATAATAACAGGGCATGTAATAATGAACTATTCATAGGCATAAGAGGTAATTGTTCAATTAAGATCCGAGAGGTTCTAAGACTGTCTTTTCTGATGGGATCCCTTTGTTTTTGCCTCCAGTAGCACTAATTATTTCCCAGTAGTGCTTTAAACTTGGGAGGAGAAAAAGGCATTCTGTCAAATATGACATACAAGTGCTTTATCATTATTAAATACACATACATGCACATAATAGGAAAGCCTTGCTGGAATGAAGACAGTGGTATGTTCAAAGGAAGAGCCCACTAAATGAGAGCTGCCAGGCTAGGGGAATCAATAAAAATGCAGGTGACAGCCAGGGACCCCACTGTAGAAGGACTTGGTCCCATCACCTCTCACCCGTCACCTCTCTCGCAAGATGAAGTACCTGGGTTCAAATCCCACTCCACCACTTACCAGTCAGATGCCCCGGGAGCCTCTCTGAGCTTTGGTTTTCCCAGCTATAAATACGGAAACCATGCCAGGCATAGTGGCGCATGCCTGTAATCCCAGCACTCTGGGAGGGAGGCTGAGGCAGGAGATTCACAA